TGTTAACCGTGTTCCCGTCGACATCTGTCAATTTAAAGCGCAGAGTGCGCAGGGTAATGGGCCCGTGCAATTTGACGAAATGCCCTTCATCCGTTCTCGTTTGCATGACAAAGCCGAGCCCCGCATTGATGATGCACTTGCATAGTATGTCATTATACCCAGAGGCCCCTTGATATCCGCCGCGGTGGCCAGCGTGCTGCAGCGCAGGAATAGCTCGCTGTAGGGGTTCATGGTTACGAACCCGAAGATCTGCAGCGCTCCGTCGATGAAGCTGGGGCCCAGGAGGTGGTTGATGCTGAGTGGCCGGTTGGGCGTGGCGCCGGCGGGATAAGAACCGGTGCCCGGGAAGAGGCTCCGGATCTCGTAATCGTTGAGTATGCGGCGATTTCCATCGCTTGCCACGCTTATCTCATTGGTTTGCTCCACGTAAGTGGCGCTCGCGTAGTTGCTGCTGATCCAGGCGGCCAGGCGACTTCCCGTGTAGGCCCCGATGGGGAGCACCGCCCAGTTGAGGGTCTGCAGCGCTTCGTCGATCCAAAAAAGGTACTGGCCCCTGTCCGTGCTCAGAAAAGCATCGGCCACCCTGAACTTGAACACGGAGAGCTTGGCTGCTGTCTGCAGATGGAGGGTCTCCCCAATGTCAAATTCGAAGCTGGAGTCGTCCCCCGCAGTGCGCTTCCTGCTATCGACATAGATCGTTGTCGACATCCTTTTCTTTCTACGCCAGAAGCTCCGGCCTGTTGACTTGTCGGAGGCCGTGCTGTCACTGACCTGCCGGACCCGCTCCGGGTAGGGAAGCCGCCGCGGGTCCACGACCCCCTGCGTGCTGGTGCAGCATTGCACATGATGGCACTCACTGTCGCAGATCGGGCCGTTGCCCAGCAGCTTGCCCACCACTTGGCTGAGGATCCCCCCCATCTTCGTTTACGATGAATTTGCGATCGAAGCGCACCCAAAACATGTCCTCTTTGGGGGCTCGCAGGTTCACGTACCAGAAGCTGTACTTCTCCCTGGTGGCCTCCTGATACATGCCGTACAAAACCTCCTTTGGGAGCATTGCGCTCAGTTCCTCCACCAGGGCGTCCAGCTCCAGCTGGTTGCGCAAGCGGAAGACGCAATAGAACATGGTGTTCACGCGCACGGCGCTGCTCGCCCCGACTGGGGGCGACAGCCTGGAGGACAGTTCCCGGTTGGAATTTGCGCCTGGGAACAATTTTTGCCGGGAACAAGGCCAACTAGTTTTCTAAAATGACGTCAATTGTTCCCGGGAACTGTTTCTTGGGGTCACTTCAGAAAGACAGCCGTAACGGCTTTGACATGGGTGATCTCGCAAAACCAAACGATCAAAACCTAGTCCTTAAACATGGTAAAAGGTTGTTAACCGTGTGGGCTCCGCTACCAACGACAGGCATGCCATGATCCCAATGTATACATGACGGCCTTAAACTGCGTCTGCCAAAGATATATAATCTGGGGGGCGAGCCAAACAGACATAAGGCCATGGAATCTTTAAGCATCGACACATAAAATTGGATCCTGCCATATATAACTGGTGACAACCGGCCATGGAGAAATCCAGCAGCACATGCAATCGAGCCAAAATCGGTCGTTCCCTCTCTCTCTCTCTGCTTAGGTTTAGGGTTTAGGGGTATATATGGTTATAACTTATAGGGTTAGGCATGCATGTATCAAATATTTTCTGTATATATATATATATATATATATATATATATATGAGATCGAATGCACGTGAGAAGGAGACCGATCGACGAGAGAAGAATATAATACGTACAGGAGCAGTATAAGTTTTTGTGTTTTCCTGGGAAGGAGACCGATCGAGGAGAGAAGAAAGGAATGGAGGAATGGAGCATTTGCAAACATCTCCTCGGAACTGCAATGCATTGCAATGGGATCCACTCTTTTTTCACTCCCGGGCTAAGTGTGCATTCAGCTGCATCTCGAGCCTCTGCAGTAGTCTGAGGCCGAGTGTACTAGGGTGAACCGCCTGGGATTTCCCTATCGCGCAAACTTTGCCGATCCAGCTCTCGTCGCTCCAACAAGAGGTCAGCAAAGGATTAAGGCGGCTGCCGCCGTGTATTTTGAGGATGACTTCATAGAAATGAATGGACCCTTGGCCGCACTTTGTACCTTGCCCTGGCACTTAGCAGGGCTGCTCTCGCCAGAAAAATGTGGGCACGTACATAGCAAAGGCCACACTCAACCATCTGTGATGCTTCGGTCTCGTTGAAAAAGAGCCCTGCTTTGTCCATCGTGATGCCCACTTGCGTCACGGCCCAGGCACACGTCGCAGGTACTTTAAGCTCTTCCACCTGTGTATCCTCAGCTGCATGGGTCCACTGGTTTTGAAGCTTTCAGTCAAGACCTGGAATTGTTCTTGATATATATTGCAATCTAAGCTCCTGAAGAAAGGCGGCAGCGAAAGCCAGTCCAACCCGGTTGCTCCAGCCTTTTGAAAAACCCAGCGGAAAGTCGTATCGCAGGGCATCCACTGAGAGCTTCTGCAAGCCTTTTGGGCACAGGGGCGGCCAACAGTTAACTGCAATGCGTTTCTCTGTATATTCCAAAAAAACATAACAAATCCGAGTGGCTGAGTTCGTCTATGCATGAACGATCCAAGTTATTCTCTGAAAACCAATCGTGCATTCGCGAGCATAAGGCTTGCAGCCCCTCTTCCCAGGGGAGGTCGCGAAATTCGGGGTGGAATTCCACTATGTCCATCAAGACGGATCCCAATGTGTCTTTCGCCGGCCCCAGCCACAGATTGTGGAGCGTATCGGCCTGCTCCATGTCGGCATGGTAGCCTGGAATGCTTCGGAGAGGAAGCGTGCTCGGCATCGAAGCATCCAGATGCTGTTGCACAAGTGCTGGTTCGTACCAGCTCAAGTTTTTCGCATCCAGCCAGTGCCGGCACTCCACATCGCTCGTGCAGCGACAGCGACGGCAAAAGGTTCGTCCCGTGGTAGGGTTCGTTCTGAGGTTGGTATAATCATGAAGTTCCTGCAGCCACTCCGCCTTCCATTTCCAATCTCCTCGGCCGCAGCAGTACTGAAGTGTTGTGCCGTTTGGCAACGAAGTCGCTGCCGGATCGCTGCATTTACGAAGAGAATTCGCAAAAGCTCTCTGGAGGCTCTCCAGCGTGAGGTTCTTGCCGTTATTGTCGTATGCAAAGTGGGCAGACCGAATCACCTAGCTATGCTTTTCGAGAGGTCATGCACAAGTCTTCAGCAGTGCTGTATCAAGCATGCACATGTAAATTCAACCAAGCATCTGCAAAAGGTAGCTTGTAATGGAGGACATTCTTTCCACGAATGCCCAGACAGCTCCAGCTGAGCACGAGGACGGAGCGTTGTTTCTTTCCCTGCCCCTCGTCCCCATGCACAGCGATCGCGTGAGCTTTGGCCTTCTGGTCCTCCGTGAAGGCTTGCACAGGGTGGGACCTGCATACACGGGACGTGTGCAAAACACGTTTCCTTTCTCATGCAATGCTTGCACAATGAAATGCTGCTGAGTGACCGCCCCCACATTTCGCATGAAGCATGCTTCCAGAACTGCACCCAATTCATGCCGTTCTGCCTAAAATCAGGGCACTCGTACTAATGGCAACAACATGCAAGGCATTGCAACATCACATGATTTGCAAACATGGGGCATCATTTTCGGGGCCGCTCCTCCCTTCATCAGAGCATGCGCCATGTGGTGTGGCAGGAAAACTGGCCATTTTTTGTAAACCATTGTTCTCAAAACATGCCCCTTCTTCTTCTTGGCACGGCCACGGCCCAGTCGACGACAGCGTCCACGGCCACGGCCCCGGCCACGGCCACGATTCGCATTCTCAGCGTCGGCAGTGTCATTGCCGACGTCCTCCCGAGGCCTTTTTTGTGGCCGCAGTAGTGATATGGGCAAGTCCACGTGGGTGATCGTGCATTTCACAGGAACCTCGGTGAGATCACAGCATGATATGCATGAGCCAAGGCGACTATCACACATGCCGGCATGAATAGTGCATAATGCTGAACCGTGCACCCCATCCGATCGCCGCATGGCATTGTGAACCAAATTTTCAGCATGATTCTTGTTCTTGCACGAGCGAGAAGCCCACCGAGAACCTGGGTTCAAAGAGTACTCGGGAATGAATTCCAAACAGGGACACGAGAAACTATCATGCAAGGCCACGTGACTAGCACTGAGTTGGCCCTTGTTGGCATCGATTTCGTCTGCAGCAGCTCGAGCAACCTCCCGGAAATACGAGGCTGGTGCTCCAGTCCCCACTCTCGCGGCGGCCCACCGCATCAACGGCGACTCTCGCAGATTCAGGCCGCCAGGAGTTCGGCCATTCCCCACAGCAAGGTTCTGCCGCGATTTTTTGGCCAATGCCGATGCTCTCTTCAGCATGACCGCACACGACGGGGATCCATATGCACATAGATGGTGCACTGATCATTGTCAGACGGGAATGACCAGCCATGCCCACCAAGCACTTGCACAGCAGTTGTCACACACATGTAGCAGGGTTGACTAACGAATACTTGGTCGGGTTTGAGCTGCACGGGTTAACGGCTATTGATTCGTTAGACTTTCTTGGCAGGTGTTGTAAACTCCACGGGCGTCGGTCTACATGGGTTGCATGGGGTTCCACACAAACCGAAATCGAAGCCCTACATGCATGTCTGCAGAAGAAACACATGCAACCAGAATTCCGCTGCATTGTGCATGCACTCGCACATCTGGGACATGTGACTCTGCAATGCCATCCGGACTTTCTTCGACCACACATGGAAGAATCCCGCGTGCAGCATGAAACTCAAATCAAAGACAAGCTGCGTGCCCCGGATCCCAGGGCTCCATGTTCATCCATGCAGAGCCGTTGCTGCATGCATAATGGGTATATACTGCCCCTATATAGTGTACACGGGTACATATCTAGCAGGTTCCCACGGAGCCTTTGGAATCGCGAGGCTTGGGCCTACAGATGCCTAGAATCACTCATTCCCTTCCTCATTCTTGAGGTCGGTCTTGCTCTTCTTCTTGGCCGGCATGGTTTGCTGTTTCTCTGCGGTGATCCTCAGATCGAGCGACACATGTACAACACCAAATTAAAGGCATCATGCAACAACACACGAAAAGTCACTCAAACACCAGCTCGCAAATCTGAAAAACTAAACCCTAATTATGTAGGCCTTGCAATCAGCATAATGCACAGCCTAGGCACAGGGAGCGTGCGGTACGTGTGTGTTTCTTGTACAAGTTCACGAGCGGCTTGGCCTTGTCGCACACGGCCGCCACCAAAGTCAATGCATCCTCGGATCCCACGTTGATGGCACCCATTTCCTTGCGGAGATCGGCCAATTGCAACTTCACCGAATCGATCAAGCCCATGAGCTTTTCCTGGCTCTCCAAGTCCTGAAGCCTCGGATGTTTTCAACCCTCTCTGCATGCAGAGTACTATAGTCGTAGTATAGCAGTATACAGGAGTAGTATAGTAGTAGTGTTGTAGCAGTAGTAGTAGTAGTAGTAGTAGTAGTAGTAGTAGTAGCAGCAATAGCAGTAGCAGTATAGCAGTACCATTAGCAGTATAGCAGTAATAATAGTAGTATATAGGAGGCAAGTAGACTAGCACAAAAACTTTCAAACTTTCGCGAAAAAAAGTTTTGGCGGAGCTCCCATGTCGAGAAACTCGGAACACAGGATCGCAGCCTGGCCCTGTGCGTCACTCACAGCTGCCATCCAGCTCGTGACAAACTCCTGGACATCATCAGCACAGCAATCGGCCGGCAGCTCGGTGTACATCTCCTGCATTGTGCAACGAGCCGAATTCGGGGCACGTAACTGGGCACAGGAGACACGAAAACAGCAACAGATGAACGATGGCCGCGGTCCTTCTGAAACTTGGCTTTGGCCTTCGCCTTGGGCTTTGGCTTATTGCCCTGGTTGGCCTTCGGGTTGGCTTTATTCGACTTGGTCGTTCCACTGCCCTGACTCGGCTCCGACGGCTCCTCCGTGACCGTCGAGTCTGGAGCTCCTCGCTCCGGCAGTGCATTCCTCTTGTAGAACAAGGGGTCCGAGTCCATTGACGAGAGGAGCTGCTCCACATCGGCAACCTTACAGCCTACCTCGAGACACACCTCGTCCTCAGCTCTTGGCAAGCACACATGATCTATGAATCGCGAAACAAGACAATGTTGTCTTTGCTTATCACACCTATATGCAATCCAACGGCGATTGTCTTGCGGCGCTCCGTCACAGTCGCATCGTTCCACAAGAGGAATTTCTCCACTGTGGGGTCATTGCGATCTCGCTTGGTGCCCTTGTGTTCGGCCCGGCGCCTTGCGGCGAAGGCGAGGCTCTTGTTGATGTCCTGCTCGAAGTGGGCCAGCACACCCGACCAGCTGACGTAGACTCCTTGATCCACCTCCTGATCGGAAGCATACAATCCAATGCCCCATATTTCCTAACATGCAACATGTTTCTTTGCAAGTGAAATGCACCTCCGTTTCTCGAATGACCTTCATCTGCACGGCTGCTTCGAGGTCCAAGCCCCTTCCGTTGACGGCGACCCATTTCTGGAACATCGACAGTCGCGTGTCACCACCCGCCCTCAGGGAGCCAGCAACAAAACAAAATATGACACTTGAGAACAAAACTGCACAGGACTTTCCAACGGTTTGCGTGTGTAAAATCAATCATGCCAAGGCTCTGCCAGGCTTTGCCAAGCTCCTTGCACACTTCGTTTCTCGCCACGAAGCGATTCATCTTTGCCCAAGCAGCAGGATGCGTCTTGCTCGTGCACTTGAAATCTTCCTGCTGCACAGCTACTTCCAGGGTCTGCATAGCACTGGCAGGAGCAGCCTCGGGCACTGTCACCACGGGCATTGCGGGAGCTGCAGGAGCAGCCTGAGGCACTGCCAATGGTGGATTTGGCACAGCAGGGATTGCGACAGGAGCAGCCTGACTAGGCATCGTCAAAGCTGAACTCGGCACCGTGGCGATTGCGGGAGCAACGGCAGGATCAGCCTTAGGAGGCACTGTCAAAGCTGGATTGGGCACCGTGGGGACTGCAGCAGCAACGGCAGGAGCAGGCTGCGGCGGCACTTGACTGGGCACAGGATCGAGGCTGGCAGGAGCGGAAGATGTGCTCAGTGGTGGAGCAACGGAAGCACTGGGGGAGTCCAGGCCTGCCAAGGACAACAGCCTCGACAGAAAAGCACTGTCGTGTCGGGCTTTCTGCATCAGGCTCTCCAGCATGTCATTCGAATCCACGGTAGAAGCCGGCGTTGTCGGCGACGTTGTCGGCGGGGTGCTTGGCATCGACAGTTCGGACTCCGATTTCTGCTTCTTGAAGTAAGACGTCCAATAGTTGGCATACTTTGCTTTGTGCTCTGGTGTCAGGACAGGTAAGGCATCCGGGTCGATCGGCGGTCGGCGTTTCAGGCTAGGCCTGTCGACTGCAGGCTGCGTGGGCACGGCCTCGGCTGCAGCCGCAAAGAAAGTGGTGTGAGGGACGGCAAGCATCAGGGGTCGCGGAACAGGTGCTTCGGCAGACACTGCGGCGGAGGCTGGGCTAGCCAGTGTCGGGACAGGTGCTTCGGCAGGTGCTGCGGCGGAGGCCGGCCTAGCCAGTGTCGGGGGAGGTGCTTTGGCAGACACTGCGGTGGAGGCCGGGCGGCCGGCAGACACTGCGGCGGAGGCTAGGCTAGCAGGTGTCGGGAGAGGTGTTTCGGCAGACACTGCGGCGGCAGAGGCTGGCCTCGCCGGTGTCGGGAGAGGTGCTCCGGCAGACACTGTGGCGGGGGCCGGACTAGCAGGTGTCGGGACAGGTGCTTCGCCACACACTGCGGCGGCAGAGGCTGGCCTCGCCGGTGTCGGGAGAGGTGCTCCGGCAGACACTGCGGCGGGGGCCGGACTAGCAGGACAGGTGCTTCGGCAGACACTGTCGGGAGAAGTGCTCCGGCAGACACTGCGGCAGAGGCTGGGCTAGCAGGTGTCGGGACAGGTGCTGAAGCAGACACTGCAGCGGCTAGGCTAGCAGGTGTCGGGACAGGTGCTTCAACAACAGGGACAGGTGCTGTGGCAAACACTGCAGCGGAGGCTGGGCTGCTGGCTGCAGCTGCAGCCACGTAGTTACAAGGCCAAGGGGAAACTGCGGCGGTGGCTTCACCTGAAGCACGTACAGCAGGCACCGTAGGGACACCAGCAGGTGCCGGGACAGGTGCTTTGGCAGACACTGCAGCGGAGCTAGCAAGTGTCGGGAGAGGTGCTTCGGCAGACACTGCGGAGGCTGGGCTAGCAGCTGTCGGGACAGGTGCTTCGGCAGACTCTGCGGCGGCAGAGGCTGGCCTCGCCGGTGGGAGAGGTGCTCCGGCAGACACTGCGGCGGGGGCCGGACTTGCAGGTGTCGGGAGAGGTGCTTCGGCAGACACTGCGGCGGCAGAGGCTGGCTTCGCCGGTGGGAGAGGTGCTCCGGCAGACACTGCGGCGGGGGCCGGACTAGCAGGTGTCGGGACAGGTGCTTCGGCAGACACTGCAGCGGAGGCTGGGCTAGCAGGTCTCGGGTTAACAGGTGCTTCGGCAAACACTGCAGCGGAGGCTGGGTCAGGCACAGCGGTCGTTTCAACAGGTTGGGCCGGCACTGCGGGAGCAGCTTGGCTCGGAAGGCCCTGCAGGGCTCGCCTGCAGCAGTTTATCTCTAAGTATAATGTTTAGAGATCGTCTGCATGCACATATCAACGACTAAGCCGGGGCACAGTTTCGCTTCGACACTCTTGCGGATCTCCGGCTGCAAGCTGGTTAAAGCTTTCAATGCCAAAGCATCAAAATGTGCCGCATCCTTCGCCTGGGTGTACACCACATGTATAATGTTCAAATGCTCCATGCAGCACCCTAGTTAAACACAGACATATGTGTCGTTGCCGGCCAGTGGCCGTGGGATCTGACTGCAGCTCTTTCCGCTTCGCGGGAGGCATGGTTCAGGATCGACAGAGCTCGAGAAAACAAAATTTCGTCTCATGATGGACAAGATTGTCTGGATGTGCTTCAATGCATGCATGGGGTGGACCGAACGTGCCAGCAAGCATGATCACTCTGCACTCTGCAAGGAAAACCCGACTGAGGTCATCGTGTCGCGTGTGTGTTTTGTCCCAGCCCCATCCCCCGCAGCCCCAAGCCCCTCAGCCCGCAAGCAAAGGCCCGTCCCACGTATATGCCCAGCACTGACCCATCCCAATCCCCACCCCTGGTTCCCCCCCCCAACCCCCCTGCAAGCCCCAGCACCCCTGGTTCCTCACCCACACCATTCCGTGCCCCTGCCCCCCTGCCCTGGTTTGGCTGTGTGTGTGGGTGTGTATATAGGAAAGCACCAAACGGGCTGCATGCATGGAATTCGCAGGTAATTTACATTGAATATATTCACGACCCGCACAATTAATCCTTCCAAACGATGCAGCAGCGTCCTGCTATTCGTCCTGTCTGATTGATCACCGAGAATTCACCATGTAAATAGCTGACTATCACAAAAAGAATTTCCCACGGAGGATAGAGAAGCCGTATTGGCAGGTCGGGTCGTAAAGCCACATGATTGCTCTGGTAGTCATGCAGCAGCGTCCTGCCATTCGTCCTGTCTGATTGATCACGGAGAATTCACCATGTAAATAGCTGACTATCACAAAAAGAATTTCCCACGGAGGATAGAGAAGCCGTATTGGCAGGTCGGGTCGTAAAGCCACATGATTGTTCTGGTAGTCATGCAGCAGCGTCCTGCCATTCGTCCTGTCTGATTGATCACCGAGAATTCACCATGTAAATAGCTGACTATCACAAAAAGCATTTCCCACGGAGGATAGAGAAGCCGTATGGGCAGGTCGGGTCGTAAAGCCACATGATTGTTCTGGTAGTCATGCAACAGCGTCCTGCCATTCGTCCTGTCTGATTGATCACGGAGAATTCACCATGTAAATAGCTGACTATCACAAAAAGAATTTCCCACGGAGGATAGAAAAGCCGAATTCGCAGGAATAAGTCGGCTCGTAAAACCACATGATTGCTCTGGTAGTCCTCGAAATGGAGGGACTTCGTAGGTATTTTACATTATTTTTTTTTCTTGCGACAAGTTTGGGCCGCCGGCTGACAAGGCATAACGGGATTGATTTTCAGATACTGCCAGACCCATTCAGAAGTGATTTTTTGTTCTTGCATGGTTTAGACTCTCCATGTAAAAGCAGGTATTTTCAGACATTTCGTTCCTCGAAAGCAACCTTTTCCTGGTTCCTTTGACAAGTTGGAACCCATATCATGGACAGATTCTTCCGTGGAGGTCTGTCGCAGTTTGCTTGCCGCAACAGCAAGCACCACTTTTCCTAGTGTTCAGGTTTGTGCGATGATGCAAAGATAGCAATTCGGAGTGGACACAATGATGAATTTATGTTCGGACGATTGCCAGGACAGGTTTCGAATGGTTTTTTTGGGCATATGAAAATTTGTTCCCAGGAACATTTTTCAGGAACAAGTTTATGGAAATTTACGCAAATCTACGCGAATTTACGCTTATTTACGCGAGCCTGTTTTGAGCATCGAAATGATGTTTTGTATATAGGTTGATGTTGAGTTCGGTTCGCGAATCATATTGTTGTTGTTAAGTTGTTGTCGCTGGGATATGTTTCGATTTTTTTTTTGGCATGTGTAAATTTGTTCCCAGGAACAATTTTCAGGAACAAGTTTATGGAAATTTACGCAAATCTACGCCAATTTACGCTTATTTACGCGAGCCTGTTTTGAGCATCGAAACGATGTTTTGTATATAGGTTGATGTTGAGTTCGGTTCGCGACTCATATTGTTGTTGTTAGGTGGTTGTTGCTGGGATATGTTTCGATGTCAATACTAAAGCATATGACATTTGTTCCCAACAACAAAACTCCAAGAACAAGTTTATGGAATTCTACGGAAAGCTACACGAATTCACGTATGCTAGTCGTATAGTGAAGTAAATTTTGGTATTCAATATTCAATACAGTAAAATGTGCAAGATGTGCACACATAGCATGATCGATAGGGGTATGGTTCCTGCAAATAATTCCTGCGATGTGGTATATCAGCAGCAGCAGGAGTAGTAGTAGTGTGGCAGTAGTAGTAGTAGTAGTAGTAGTAGTAGTAGTAGTAGTAGTAGTAGTAGTAGCTAGTAGAGAAGTTAGAACTAGAGGTAGAAGTAGAAGTAGAAGTAGTATAGTGATAGTAGTATAGTAGTAGTAGTAGTAGTAGTAGTAGTAGCAGTAGTAGTAGTAGTAGTAGTAGTAGTAGTAGTAGTAGTAGTAGTAGTAGTAGTAGTAGTAGCAGTATAGTAGTAGTAGTAGTTGTTGTTGTATATAGTAGTCGTCGTCGTCATCGCCAGCGTCCTCGTCGCCGCATTTTAGCAGTTATTAGGTAACTAATTCTTAAGATAGAATGTGCAAGATGTTCACACATATCATGATTCCTCAGTCGGGGTTTGCCCACAGACATGGGACAGGGCACCAAGCGTGGGACAGCAATCGGCGGCCGAGGTTTTGCAATTCAAATGCACATCACTCGCTGCTACCAGTCCTGCGGCCAGCATCCAGGAAGGTGAAGGTCCGGAGAATTACGGAGGTGATGTATCACATCACACATGTTGGCCTGGGGTTGGACACCATAGCACAGTTGTTCTCATGTCATGCACACACGAATCACGACGAAGCGTGGCCAGACTGACCAAGTCACATCGTCCCATGCATCCATCGGGGCACCGAAAAGCAAAGCAACATTTCGCTCCTCCAGCTTCTAGAATGCAGCCGATAACACATGGGCGTGCATTGCCATGAAAAGTCCTCCACATCATCCCTGATGGAGCTCAGAAAGCATGATGGCATGGCCGTCATAGCATGACAGGTCTCGCAGTGCCCACGGATGGGGAGATCCTGAAACTCTGGACACATGCATGTGGCCATATATACGTACATCACAGCAAAACTAAGAAGTCTCCCAGGAGCCTGGGATCCTTCACAGCCGCACGACCAGGCATCCATCACAGCCGATGCAAAGCCCTCCGTGTACATCCTGAGTCAGCTAGAAAAGAGTGCATGATTGGGAGAGCATTGCATGCTTGTGCAGACAAGATACAAGCACAATTTCAGTCCAGGAGCCCAATCCCCTCCCCCCATCAAACAAAACACAAACCAAGTGTCTCGCACTGCGTCAAGGCATCGGGGTTACCAGTGGGCCCCATCTGGCCACTTTCTTCATCCTTGCCATATACGTGCCAGACAGCATGCACGGATGCAGCATCCGGCCGGCAGCAAAACACAACAATCATTAGCAAGACAAGCGTCCCTTGTCCGTTTCGCCAGAGAAGCGTGGAAAGCATCTATACGATGCACATCATCTAGCGAAAGGTCCTTGCACAAGCCCCCGAGCCACTGCTTGTGGTTGCTCCACAAGCACGTGGGCCTCTCCCAGTTGGAGCCGAATGCCCCCATCTTTATGTGGATCTTGTAGACCTCCGCACGGAGGCATGGGATGCGTGCAGTGCAAACATTTCAAGAACAGACACGAGACGGAGTATCAGAGGATCGCACCTTTGACCCCTGCGAAATATGTTGCCATCGTTTGCTCTTGAAGAGGTACACTCCCCTGTAATGCGGTTGGTCCAGCAATATGTATGCGCCCGCAGCACGAGCAGCATGCCAAAGCAGACACATCCTTGGTTGTCGTTGTCGCTATGCTGGACCCCCGCCACCCCTGGGATTGGGCCTAGTGCATCCTGTACCCTACAAAACACAGCTTCCGCCAAAAGCGTTTCGAAGCAGCTTTCAAATTGCCGCCATCAGCTACAACAGGGGCTGATCTGTCAGAAACATGTTGCGAACACTATGGTCCGCCGCTGATTGTCTGCAATACGCTATGTGTTGCTTCAATCGGGCTTCGGATATCTGTTTTTTTGGGTTTTGCACTCTTGGATTTTTGTTTTTTCGGTTTTGCAGTCTTGGATTTTTTGTTTCTTGGGTTTTGCAATGTTGGATTTTTTGCTTTTTGGGGTTTTGCAACGTTGGATTTTTTTGCTTTCGGGTGGGTTGTTGGGTTTGTGGTTTCCTGCCTCCTACGCGCTGTGCCAAGCTCGCCTTTGAACTCCCAACAACGACTTTACCCCAATCCTGGCTGACATGTTTGCTCTGTCCACCAAAACGTCGGCACGATACGATATTATTTCCGAAAATAGTCCTACGCAGTTGTGTTCAACAAATCTCATAGGAAAACTTATCAAAATTCTCAAGCGAAGTTCTGTGGAAAACTGCGCCATGCCCCAAAAGCTTGACAAAAATCAAATGCACAAGGAATGCACGGCACTGGGTAACATGAGACATGACGCTCACTGCTTAGAGCCCCACTGAACCTACACTGAAATGACTCAGATTTGCGAGCGTGGTGTCGTTGCAATCTCAATCTCTGCATGGTTTGGTTCTGCCTTGGATTTGATGCCACTCTGTGCCCAAGGCATCCACAAGCAAGCACAATCCTCCGTATGACCAGTGACATGGCATGAACAAGTGACCTGCAAGTACTGTTACATTGGCAGCTTTGCCAGTCTGATAATGCTCACACGATTTACAGCTCAAACTTCTCGCAGTGCTCAATCGCTCCCAGCTTTTTTGCTGAGAACTCCAGGCCGAATCTGCAGCTGGACACCGTACCTGGCCAGGGCGCCAATCCAAAGTCATTCACACAACTCCCGACAGCGCTAGTCCTGTTGCATGCTGCGGCTTTTGCTTGTCTCGGACAGCAAACTGGTAGTCTCTTCGATGGTTCTGCAAAAGTCGAGTCAAGCTCTTGCTTGCCCAGCTCGTCCATGCTGCCAATTCACTGCTGAATCCGGGCGCTAGGCTTTATCGGGCATTTCACGCTGGACACGCAAGAACCTGTCTGCACCTACGTGGAAAAGAGCCGACTTGCACTGCACATCCGACGCAAAAGTGCAGGGAAGCATATATAGTAATGGATATGGGCATGGCACAACGAGCAACACTATACAACACAGTTTGCATCACAAATGCCAGTGCAGCAATCCCCGGTCCCGCCACGAAAGTTGGCAGGTTCTCCCTACGTTTCGAATCAAGCAAGATTCTAAAATCTACAATCCACAGGACATGGAGTGCCTATCCCACCTGTTCTGGCGGCGGTGTTGCTGCATTCGATGCTTCGGCCGGGGCTTCGCCAGGCGAGGATTCTTTGGGCTCTGCCGCTGGCAAATCAGACTCAGTCTTCTCTGACTCTTTCGGCTCGGACGATGCCGGCGCAGGCGGCTCAACAGCAACAGCTTCGATTTCAGCAGTCGGGCCATCATGTTTTGTTGACATGGCATCCATTATCGCAGCGACCACTTCGGCCTCACTGGCCAAACTCGCTTTCAAGGTCTCCTTGTCCGTCATCCCTTTCAGCTTCTCCAACTCTTCATGCCGTCGTTGGAAGGCCAAGCCAATGCTGGGGCTCACGCTCCCGTGAACAACGATTGGCCACCTCAAACCGATGTTGCACGTGTGGCATAACTCTGCAACAATGGCACCTGGGGGCAAGTACAAGGCGTCCCCCGGCCCAATGGTGGCCGTTTCCAAGGAGCAGGAAGCTTTGAAGTCGGCGATAGCAGCAAGCCCCAGGCTTCGGAAGAAGCCTGACATCCTCGAGGTTGTGATGACGCCCTCCACTCCTTTCCGCTGCATGTAGCCCACAAGCTGAACAGCACATGTGATCATGACGCATCGGGTGCCGACGGTATTCAATCTCACACACGCCATGCCTGCACACTCTGAGGAGACCTTGTCATACGTTGCATCGATCCCAAAGACAGACAACAGGATCTGCTGCTGGGCGCAGGCTGCAAGAGCATCCTTGCCAACAACACTGCCGCGTCTGAAGATCTTGCCCACCTCCAAACCGAAGTCGAAGCGAACATCTGCGGCATTCAAGTTCAAAGCCCTGGATGCTCTTGATCCTTTCTGCTGGGCCCTCATGAGATCAAACTGAGTCTTGAAGTCATCCACGGCCACTCGCAGGGCCGTCTTCTCCTGCAACGCGGACGCCACCCAGTCCTCCACACGCACGATGAAGGGGCGGGTCAAGTCTGGCGCCGTGGGGTTCTCGGCCTTGGTCAGGTCCTGGAGCTTGTGCTGAAGGATCGGGGTTGCATGGGTGATGCCCTGGTCGAACAGTGGCAGGGTAGCTGTCTGAGGATCGGCCACCTTCGCTTTCATGGCCTTCGCAGACGCTTTCTCGGTCATTTTCTTCGCTTTGTCCACGGATGCCTTGAGAGCCTTCTCTGCCCTCAAAGCTCCTCCGAGCAGCTGGCTGATGGGGGCACGAATCGCACCCAGCTTCTCGGACACGTCCTGATAGGGGTCAGGCATCGTTGGGAAAGTTAGCTTACATTGGGCTCGAGCAGTCAAAGATTTAGATGTGTTAATGTATATCAGGGTGCTTCAAAACCTGTTGGGTGGGACACTAAAGTAAATCCTACGTCCAGCCCCAGCCCAGCCAGCCCAGCCCAGTAAAATATAATGCCAACGAGTTTCTCCCGCACGCCGAAAACATTCAAGTGTTCCCATCCCGAACCCCCAAACTTGTGCACGCGACGAAACTCTCCCCACATGATGTGTCTGACATGTGTCTGGGAAAGTGTACTTTCGCCCGATCCTTCAGCTGTTCTGGCTGCTGGCACTTGTTGTACTCCTCCACGACATTCAAGAACACGCGGAGGGGCTGGAGCTTGTCGTAATCTTCACAGGGAGGCGCCGGGGAGTCTGGAAGTCCAAACCTGCCAATGAACTCACCGGCACCTCTTCATCTTGAAGGCAGACTTGCAGGCCTTCCAGCCTGAGGGCCCAGAGCTTCGTTCGGGTTTGATCTTAAAGGTTCAGGGTTTCACCACACTCCAAAGCTCAAAGCCCGAAGCCCAGACCCTTCAGACCCCTCGAACCATTGTCCAGAATCCTATCCGAGAGCCACGGTCCAAAGTCCGAAACCCAAAACCCAACAACAACCACAACACTCGGAACATCTACCTTGCACTGCTGCTGCACAACATCAGGGCAAACCTTTACACCCCTGCTTTGGGTTTGGGTACATGATTATATGTACTTAGGGTGAAGCTCCGCTTCGATTTGTTTCGCAGCCTCCGAATCTCCCTTTCCAGACCCCCATTCTCGAGCCGAGAATGGGGGTCTGGAAAGGAGCCAAGGCAGTGTTGGATTGTGTGGTTTGTGGGTTTTGCAGTCTCGCTTTTTTTGTGGTTTTGCAATCTTGGATTGTTTGTTCTTTGTTTTGGAGACTTGGATGTTTGGCTTTCGTGGTTTTGCAATGTTGGATTTTTTGTTTTTGGGGTTTTGCAATGTTGGATTTTTTGCTTTTTGGGGCTTTGCAACGTTGGATTTTTTTGCTTTCGGGTGGGTTGTTGGGTTTGTGGGTTTCCTGCCTCGTACGCAGCGTGCCCAGCTCGCCTTTGAAAAGCTCCTTCATGCTGTCGTCGGAGTCGTGCTCAAACGATTCAAAGAACTCCTTCTGCTTGCTGAGTTGCTCCTGGGCCTTCTGCTTGAACTGCTCGTACTGGTGCTTCACCGTTCGGATAGTGGATGACACCAACCTGTCACGATCAACCCAAATCCTCGGCTTCTTCGGGCTGGGCTCGGCAGAGTCCTTGTCATTGTCTGCACCGGCACCGGCCTTGATGTCGTCCTCCGCGATGTCGGCGTCCGGCTGCAGCTCCAGCACGTCGAGAAGAAAGCCGCCGCGCTCACTGAAGGCAGCTTCGCCGTTGACGGCTAAAGCCTGAGCGACTGCTGAGAAGCCCATGCTGGCTCCCGTGCCGTGCTTGCTCAACAACTCCGAGCGGTACTTGTCCACGTCCTGGTCCGTCGCTTTCTTCTTGGAGTCTCCCTGCATCGAGACACCTTTCTCGTGCATGTACTGCTGCCTCCAGGTGAGAAGATCTTTGACACCCACCCAGATTCGAAGAGAACCGCCCGGGCCCTGCCTGTCGTAGAGCGTGTGTGGGTCGTGGTTCCGCACCTTGAGAACCCATTCGGCCCACTGTGCCTCAGCTTCACTGGCACTCTTCTGGCCGCCCCGCGCCGTGGGAGCGAATTCCAGGTACACGGCCTTGCTCATGAACTCGCCTACCTGGTCTTTCAAGAGCCCTGAGGAAGCTTTGACGGTCTCGATGTATTGCAAGAGGTTCCACGTCCCCCGGCGCCGACCGGTGCAAACCGTAGCTTCTGGGCATTTGGCCATGTAGTTCTGAACAAGGGCATAACAGGCTTCTTCGTCTACCCGAGCCTCCGAAACAAATTTCCGGGCTTCTTCCCCCTGTTTACAAGCGAGCTTGTAGACATTGTCTACCGCCCGCTTACAGCTCCAGCACCCAGGGAAATTGGGAGCTACCTCGTCGCCTGCTTTTTGTGGCAGCCACGGCACTTCAGAGGCTTCGCAGCCTTCGCCTTTGCGATGCTCTTATTGACGCCTTTGCCGCCGGCTTTGCGAGCCTTGCCGCGGCCCTTCCCATGGATTCCCTTGGAATCCTCGTCATCGGCACTGGGACTGGGACCACTGGGACCCTCTCCCAAGTCAGGGAGCTGAAAGTTGGCCCACTCCGCATCGAGGGAATCCAACACCGAAGAATCATCGGCCTGCAACATGGCTGCTACTTCACGCAGCGTCGCCATTCAGGTGGCTCAGCAAGAGTCCCGCACCGGACTCTAAGGCACCGAAAATCTACAACAAGCATGCAGCGATCGATGCATCCATGTCAATGCACGTTAACTGTGGACTTGCAGGCCCTTGCCGCACGGAGTGCAATGCCTCTCTGTGTAAGCGCTCGAGTCTGTGCTCTTTCTTGCAATCGTAGCTTCCCGATGTGTCGGCAGCAGAGGGGGGCGCCATAAAAGATGCTTGACCTGCCCTAACCCGGGCAACTGTACATTCTGGTGCTCTGAACTCTCCAGGCACGACAGCGCTTGGCAAGGACACGTTTACCACTACTGCAAGATTAGTAGCTCCAGACTGCAACATGTAAACTAAACATCTGCCTTGCCTTGCCACTGCCTGCACCGCTGCACGCCTTGAACTAACCCCTCACGGCCCGAACATCTGTCAAGGCCAGCGCTGCAGCTAGCAGCAGCCCGGTCAAACGGCAATGGAACGAGTTGCCCATCACCTTGGCCACATCACGATTTGAGAATTTCCTGAAGAAGTCTGGGCCAAACGGAAACTCCTGGGAAAGGCAAGGCCAGCCCATCAGAAGGAAAGTTTCCGGTGGGCTGAGCATACGTTCAGCTTCGAAGGACCATATCAGTGACTGTGTCAAGAGCGATGGGAACCTATCGGACAATCGCCCTCGTACTGAAGCATTCTGGGACAGGTCCACGATGGGCTTCGGCACAGCCTCGCCAGCAGTGAGCTTCTTCATGTACAAGGCCTTGTAGTCCTGCAGCCGTGTCTGCATTCCATGTGCGAGACAGGCTTCAAATCCAAAGTCTCTGATGGCCGTGCTCTCCTCCCTACAGCCCACGAAGGATGCAGCCTCAACCGCATCCAGAACGAAGAACTTGTGCCCCGAGAGCACAGGGGGGCATGGATGCAGCTGCTGAAACAATTCCTTGGTCAGGGGCACCACCATTCGCAGCCTGTGAGTGCGGACGGTCCAGCTGAAGTTGCGAGGACGGACCATAGGCACACCAATATCCACAGCCCCCAGCGTGACAACCGATGTGGACCAGCCCTCATCAGGTGGACACGCGCATTGCATGAATGCTTTGGTGTCAAAGAGGTGGGAGCATTCCTGGAAGATCATGTCTGCATGGCATGCTGCCCACGATAGCCACACAGCGGCGACAGGTCCTGAGGGATGAATCCATTTGGCCTGCTTCCCTTGTGGGGAGAAGGCAACACAGGTGTTGCCCGCACCCTCCAACAACAGATCCTCTGCACTCATGCACGGGGGCAGCAGCGGGCACTGCTTCTCATGCTTGTAGCAATAGGCCGTTCTAGAAGTTTGAGGGGTTTGCTTGGCGATCTCTTCCATGCTCACGGAGAAAAGTTTCTTCATGCAGCGGTCACTAAGCTCTGCATAAGCTTTCTTTTTGTTTTCACTCGTGTTCTTGCTAGCAGCTATCTTCGCTGCCCTTTCCTCGCACGCCTGCACGATGAACTTTAACTGAGCCATGCAGTTCTGGTCCACACGCTCGCAGATGTCGCCAAAGACGTGCTCGGGGCACACTTCGCTTTCCATCAACATTGCCCTGACAGATGCATCACTCTCACAGGCCGACCAAAACTTGAACCTGCTGTCGTCCAGTGTTGTGAACAAAGCTGCAAGCCTTGCAACGCAAAACTCGAAGGTGCCTATTCCACTGTAGCTGCTGGTAACATAAATTGTGCCACCTTGGCCAGAGCAATGATGCTCTAGCCGAGAGCGGACCCCGGTGGCCGACAGGACTCGATCTTGCATGCTCAGAACATCCTGGGGCCAAGCTGCCAATCTTCGTATCGGACACTCATCCGAAGACCCGGCAGCAGGCTCGCAACCATCGTATGATTGCGTTTGCAAACGCTGGATCTTCTTTGGAGGTTCCTTGACACATGCTGCTCTGCTACCTTCCACGGCAGAACCACGGGCGAGCGCCAGCAGAATCTCGCTTGGCATGTCGGGAGTCCCCGCTCTCCACTAGCTACACTCTAGAGGTTTGCTGAAGATTGCTCCCGCACGCAAGCCACAAGCCAATCCACGCACAGACTCAAACTTCCAGGCAGTCCTCAGAAAAACTGGAGTTCCCCGTACACACAACAGGCTAGACGGACAGGCCTCGGCATCCATTGTTGGAACTCGAAGAGACAGCGGCCGGAACCTCCAATGCAAGATTCATCAGCACAGAAGATTCGGCGATGAAGACCCCAAAACCTGGCAACCCCAACACTCTGAAGCAATTAAACCAGACTGTCCAGTGGTTTCGGCATTGACTTCACGAGAAACACAATGGCCAGACTCGGCTAGGGACTACACTCTGCTCGCATCGGGAGTTGTTTATTGTGGGCGGACATGCAGTCAGCCAGTGGCTAATGATGGCGACGACGACGACGACGCCACACCATGCTGACAGGCACAAAGAAAAGCTGCACTTTTCCTGTCATGCGCGATGCGACTTCTGAACTTGAGTGTCTTTTCAAAAACGGCCACTGCCTGTGCCTCGCAAGGCTTGCTTGGGTTCATACTCTTTGTACGCCTGTATCAGCTTGAAGCAAGCATCACGGTCCTTTCGGGCTGCTGCGATACCTTTCTTTGCATCATCATCGGCCTCTTTGCCCGCCAACTTCTCAAGGTGGTCAAGGATTTTTTTGCAACCCGGGCAATGCAGCACCGTGTCATGCGCTGGGACCTCTGTCCGGCAACCAAAGCACCGCACATCCGGGGGCATGGCTCAGTGGGCCCTTGCCTCTGCCCTTACTTCTAGTGGTCTGGCACCTCTGCATCCTCAAGAATCTGTTTACTTTCAAAAGGGAAAAACATGACTGACAAACAAAGGTCTTTCGAGCTGATTGGCTTCGGAACCCAAGAAATGCGCCGAGCATCCCATGCCCCTCCTCCCCGTCCTCCCTCTCCTGCCCCTGCCTCCCCCTCTCCACCCCTCCCATCCCCTCCTCCTGCCCTCACCCAGCTCCTGCCCCGGCTTCTGCAGCCCAGCCCTGCAACGCACCAAAATTTTAGTGACGGGCGGGCCTCGCCACCAATCTGGACAGTAACGCCACGGCCAGCCTCGAAACGGCTGGGTTCGATTCGTTTCTGTCTGTTTCACAACGTTTTGCCACGATTTCTCGCTGCACGTGCCTCAAACAACCCTAAAACCAAAACCCGGAGTCCAGAATGTCTGCTTTGGGCAGGACCGCGTACAAACTGCACCCGTTCCTATATTTGGTTTCCTTCAATCTGTTTTAGCGAAACTGTTATGTTACCACACAACTCAACAAACGATAACATTGGGTCGCGGGAGCTAAACCCTAAACTCTTCAAGTGCCAGAGAGGTGTCTCTGCGAGTCGCGGGGAGTCGTGGGTCGCGGTGGGTCGCGGAACTGGTCAAAGGAGCTAAACCCGAAACTTTCATGTCGCGGTGGGTCGCGGTGGGTCGCGGTGGGTCGCGGTGGGTCGCGGTGGGTCGCGCAGGGAGGGTCGCGGGGGTCGCGGGGGTCGCGGGGGGTCGCGGGGGTCCGGGGGGTCGCGGGGGTCGCGGGGGGTCGCGGCGGGTCGCGGCGGGTCGCGGTGGGTCGCGGCGGCTCGCGGTGGGTCGCGGCGGGTCGCGGCGGGTCGCGGTGGGTCGCGGTGGGTCGCGGAGGGTCGAGGTGGGTTGCCGGTGGCTTCTCTTGGTTTGTTGGAACAACAAGTCAACTGCCAAGCACCTGGCCATCCTCACGTTCCATAAAAGGTGCATCCTCAGGGTGTGTTTGCAAGGAAACCATGCAACTTGAGCACAAACCGCTTCAAATGCTCAAAACCAGGCCTCCACGATGCAAAACGAAGCGAATCCAGCTCAAATCCATCCTGCATGCAAATTTGGTGGCGCCGGGTGGCGGGAGGAGGGGCTGCCGCAGACACCCGAAATCTCCAAAGTACGCAAAGGACAAGAACGATGGGGTCTTTCAGCTGCCTTGACCCAAAGGCTATGTTACAAGGCTTCGATATGCAGCCCGGGCCCCGTCACGGAAACCAAGATAGCTATCAGCTCAAACACTCCGAAGACAGTGTTGCGTTGCATATCTATGTCTCCAATCATCCCAGGATGAGTCATATATGGCCAGCACCACCACTATTCTTCAAGACGAACAAAGCAAAGTAAAACCTAAAAGATAGCTTGAGCAAAAGAGAAACACAGTCCTGAAAGGCAGCCTTATATTGGGGGGCCGGGGCATCGCAACCCCAGCGGGGCCTCCAATCGAATGGTTGCAGCACTGACCGGCACGGCAAGTCGACGGCAAGCCTAAAGCACGTGCACGACATGGCAACCGAGAAAGATCCAGTTCTGGATGGGGGCCGCACGGCTCGCATCCCGTCTCCACAAGGAAGCCTAAGCACCACCACGCATCCACCTGCCAGCGGCAGGGTGAGAGTATTGCCTTGGCCGAGACATCGCAACTCAAGAAGGCTGTGCCTGTAGCTTGTCTCAGCACGACTCCACCTGCCAGGTTTAGCATCGCTCGCTTGCGGGGCGAGGCATTACAACTGCAACTGACGAACGACATGCCTGCAGAGTCTCTCCTGCCTTGAAAGCTCTCGCACTTGCAAACCTCCCGAGCATGACGAGCGAGCCGTACCGGCCAACCTTGTCGACCGAGGCGACGGCCCGGCCCAGCTCATTGTCGGGAGTCGGAAGCACGAGCACGAACACCGATCCCACCTGCCACGAAGCAGCACAACTGAGTGTGGGCCTAAGAACCAGTCGCCCCAACAGTCGCGGAATCCCACGTTTTCCAAAAAAAATGGCCCTGGTAGTATAAAGAACTAGGGACCCCATATACTACCGGGGCCATTTTTTTTGGGAAAACGTGCGATTCCACCGGAAGAAGGAAAGGCCTGCACTTGTCCGTCCAAGACAACGGATCCACCTGCCAGGTTGTGCTTTCGCTTTGAACTTTGCGAGGCATCGCAACTCAAGAAGGGTTTAACTTGTAAAACTGAAGAAGTACAAGCCTGCATCTCGTGCCCCAGCATAACCACGAATCGATAATCCACCTGCCAGGTTTGGCATCCCATGCTTGTGGCACAGGGCGCCGCAACTCCAGAACGACAGGCCTGCAGCTTGTTTCCTGCCTCGAAGCGCCTCAAGCAATCAAACAACGGACATGTGCACCCGACTGTCGAACCACGGGTTTGTCGGCAGAGATAAGTGCCCGACTCAGCCCTACAGCACGACCAAACAGGGAGCCATGATCACCACCACGAAACGACTCCACCTGACAAGTTCAGCATGCTCACCCAATGACGGAGCTGTCTACCTAAGTGCCCGACTCGCATCTCGCACACCATGACCACGAAAGCGCCTGCCCGTGAGTTTCAGAGTTTCCGGTTGATGTTATTGAAGGGACGTGCTCAAGGGTCCGGCACAGAGATTTCAGCTCATGGGGGCATGATATGGATGGTATCACAAAACGTAAGCCTCAGGACGATGATGATGATGAGGAGGAGGAGGAGGAAGAGCTAGAACATGATGAAGCCCCTGCCGCTGACTCGTTCTCGGCCGAGCTGGAAGGGGGGTCCGAAGCACATTCATCCTCCAATGCCGGACCAGCCGGCACAGGCTCAAGCTCAGGGTCGATGCGGGGCTTTCCCTTAGCCTTAGCTTTCGCCTTTTTCTTAGGCACTGTTTTCGCTTTTGCTTTGGCCTTGGCCGCCTTAGCCTTAGGTGCAGGAGCGCTGCTAGCCGCCTCCCTGCTGTCAAGCTCTTCATCTGTGGGAGCTCTCTGCGGCGGGTCGTCCGTAAGCCTTTGCTGAGCAATGATCTCGTTGTTTGGTATAGATTCGGGACCCAATGGCATGCGCATGTGGTGCCGCTGACGCGTACACTGGCTGGCACTATTGCACCAGTGGCGCAACATCCACAGCGTCCTTTGTTCATCCTCGGCAGTTGGTCCTGCAAATCGCAAGAATTTTTTACAGCCTGTACGATCATTGAGCGCGTGGAATTTACATACGGCCTCGAGGCCACCGTGTGGCGGGGCACTCTTGGCCAACTTCCGATGGAAGACGAAGGACCCCCATGGCTCCGGCCTAGAATCGTGCCGCACCCTTGATGCCGCGGCAGGACGACGCACAGGACGATCTGCTGCCTCTGCAGCGGGCGGATCAAACGACACAGCACCTTCAGCAGCATCTGCAGCAGGAGCCGGCGGCTCCGAAGGAACGGGAGGCGTCTCAGATTGACCAAGCATGTTTCTCTCGTCATCGGCACCTGATGCTGGAGCTGAAAGTGGCTTACTGGAGGATGGTCCTGCGGCGCACTCGGCTTGCTCCTGCTGGTCGATCAAATCAAGAATGTCTTGCACGAAAGTCTCATCCTCAGCGGCGTCAGCTTCCGGATCCTCCAAAAAACCTGACACAGGCTCCGACTCCGTTTCAGCTGTTGGGGCTGAGGCAGGCAAAGCAAGCACTTTCTCCCTTGGTTTCCGGACTGCTGGATGGTGCACACGTTCATCCTCCAAGACAACATCCAAAACCATACCGGCACTTTTGGGCTTCCGCTTTCGGGATGCTTGATTAGCGAGAGCCAGAGCCTCTTGCACGGGCTTGCCTTCCAACAACATTTCGTAAACTTGGCATGGGGCACAATGCGGAACACACGTGATCTGGAAATCACGCTGCAATCGCTCTGCATCAAGCAAACATAGGATATACTCCCGATGAACAGTCACACCTGCTGCATACCATACCAAAGGCCCTCCTACCTCGTACTTTAGCTCAGCTGGCTGTTTCTTCTTGCTCGACGAAGGCTTTTGCCACTGCCACCCATCCTGCCGTGCTTTGACCAACAGCTCACACAAAGACAGTTCCTGCAACGGCCTGTCTGCAAGTTGCGCCAATGTGCAAGGACGTGTCAGCACATGCTTGAAACGCATATCCTCGACGCTCTGCCTTGTCACATACCAGCCGGAATCATTATGACCAAGAAAACCTGCCTGTTGCAAGATGCCTGCTGTCGCATGCAATGTCGACGACAGCTTTGCACCACGAGGTCGGACTGCTGCACTGGTGCTCTCGAAACAGGACTGGCTGGTCAAGCAGTTTAACACCTCCGAAACAAGACACTGATCAGTATCTATGGGCAGCGTCAACAGCACTGAGTCTGGCTTAGACCATAAGAAGAAATCCTTGAGGAACCCTTCCAAACCAGAAGCCTCGATCAAGCTATGCACAAGCAGACTCTCGCAAGCTGAATCGTGCATGGCCGACACCATCGGCGCAGACTGACTTCCAGAATTGGACAGTACACTGATGACGATCTCATTCTTGTGGCCCGATGCAACAATGCCCGGCGCATGCACAGGCCGATGAATACTGGATGGCCGCAAAATCAATGGCATAAAGAACTTTTCTGCAATGGAAAACACCTGGCCGGGATTTTCAAAGCTACGATCCCTCAAGAATTTTGTGCATGCCTCGGAGAATATTAACTCTTCAGACAGCTTGGGGTCCTTGGGTCGAAAAGCTTTCATTTGCTTCTCAATGGACTTATGAGCATCGTCGTGAACTTCCTGAGCCTTGGCCACATCTGCATGTTGCACACGAGTGTCTCTATAGAGGAGTTTGCGAACCACTGTGAGGCGTTTCCAAGTTGGGGCTTTATCTTCTAATGCCAGCAAATCCGGATGACCCCTGTGCCCAGGGAATTGATCTGCGAAGTGTCGCAGCCGCCGGCCCTCCGTAAAACAT